GGTGCGTAAAGGCGGGCACCGGCAGTGGTGCGTAAAGGCGGGCACCGACATTGATGTGTTGACTACAGCAAAGACCGTGTCTGGAGTTTTCCCATGTACGGCATGGCAATCCCAAGGAGGAGCTATTGTTTCCGTCCCTGTGTGAGGACAGGGCTTAGGGAGGGCTCAGCGAATGTGCCATGTTACAAAAAAGTGGCAAAGGCCGTTCTCATCTGTAGAACCCCTCACCCTTGAGTCTAAAGCTGTCTAGTGCTTGAAGGAATCTGCCCGCCCTTAAGTCTTACCCAGGTAGGCATATTCCCGAGTGAAGGTGAGAATGGCCTGTAGCCTGAGAGAAAGGGTTTTAGGTGGGAATCGCGTTCGGAAGGCCTCAGTCTGTTCCAGATTGGCTTAGATCCTCATGGTAGTCGGACCTAAATAAATAAAATAAAGAGATTGGAAAAAAATTAATAAAAAAAACCCCCAAGATCTCTGCCTGTCTGAGGCAGAATCCAGTAGCATGAAGGGTGATGAATAAGTCTTGCATCGTTAGAATAAGGAGATTTGGAGTGGAAACGTGTAGAATACTGGGCCCTGTTTCCTTGACAACGTGTATAGAGCAGCAGTCACCTGTGCCAGTGCTGTAAGGAGACCACTTGTTTGTTTCCTGGTCACCGGGCAGTTCAGACCCAAAATAATCACACAGAAGCCATATTATTTAAATCACTGCTTGACCCATTAGCTCTAACTTCTTATTGGCTAACTCTTACATCTTAATTTAACCCATTTCTTTTAATGTGTATATCGCCACATGGCTGTAGCTTACTGGGTAAAATTTCGTCCAGCATCTTTCTCTGGTGGGGGCTCCATGGCTTCTCTCTGACTCTGCCTCCTTTCTCCCAGCATTCTGTTTAGTTCCCCCCCCACACCTAGTTTGTTCCTCTATAGCTCTGCTGTAGGTCCAAAGCGGTTTCTTTATTAACCAATGGTATTCATAGCATACAGAGGGGAATCCCACATCATGTCAGGAGTCAAGACTCTCAAGTAGCTGTGTTCACACTGAGATGGGGAAACAAAACTAAAAGACCTGATGTCCTGGTGGTAAAAACTGGGTGACTCTGAGAATCCCTAGGGTCCCCTGAAGTTTGACTCCAGCGTTAGTTGGGTCTAAATCGCTGGCCCATGTCACGGACAGGAACATTTGGGGTGAGGGGGAAACTCCTTTGTTAAGCTCATAGACCCCAGGCAATGTTACTGATTATCACCTGGCATCAATCCTGGTCACACCGATTAGCTTCCCAGCCAGGGACCATAGGCTACAAGCCCCAGTGGTTTTTAGAGTGCAGCTCCCACCGTGGAAGCATCGGTGTTACTGAGAACCTTGTTAGAGATGCCAATTTTTAGCTCAGTCTGGGCCAGCTAAACAAGAACTTAGGATGGGGTCAGCACTGCATGTTATCATGAGCCATCCAGGTGGTGGTACTCACTGTCCACCCAGAGTGGAAGAAGTGGGCATTCAGTGTGGGCTCTTATCCAAGCACCGTGGACTAATCTCCAGGTTGTAGGCCTTCACTGCAGGAAAAGGAGCCTTTGTGTGACCAACGAAGCTCATCTCTGTGCTCAGAGTCCTTAGCCATGTTAACCTGCACCTTCCCTACCAAGCTTAAGAGGTTCCTACCTGGGGCTTCCCTCTCTAATTGGCACTTGAGTATGTTTTTGTGCCGAGCTTGTGGGAACTCACGTGATCTGGGGGACTCCTCGCAACAAAATGTGATCGGTTCACTCAGCGTAGTTGACAGTGGCATCCGGAACTTTAGGAGAGTTAAACCTTCCGAGTGGCTCGCCCACCCGGGGGAATCCTTGGCTATTCGCCTCAAATTTCACATCGTCATTTGCTGACTCCAGAAGCCTGTGCTCTGTGTCTGTTCTGTGCCAGCTACAAGCCCAGACACACCTGTGTAGGAAATGCAAGCCACAGTCCCAGGAAGGGCCTGGCCTCTTGAGTCTTCTGGCCCATGTACACACCTCCTGATTCTCAACCAGATTTCAGCCCTACGGTTCCAGTATCATTTTCCATCTTGTGACCTGGGGGAGGCATCCTAGGGCTGCAGCTGTGAAGTACGCATTCCTCATCACACATCTGGAAAACCCCTTAGCAGATGCAGCGGGGCGCCCCTCCAGGAGCTCCAACTGTGAAGCTGTGGGCTGTTTCCTGGGGCGAGGTTTGTAGAAAAAAATGCAGGATGCATGCGCCAACCCTCTCTTGCAGCAACCACACAAGCAGGGGCCATATTGACAACTGTGCCCTTTGTGCTGAGGTGGTGCCGAGGATATTGCCAGGGTTAGGGCCACAGTGCTGCAGTGCGAGCTGCGGACCAGCAAACAGAAGTTGTACCAGGTTGGGGAGGGGGCAATGTCAGCGCAGCCTGAGAACCTTGAAAACTCATCTCCGGTGTTTAGGTGCCACTGTGGATGTGAACCCCAGCATCCCATCCTTAACATTTAAAAGACACAAAGCTGCCTTACTAAAGTGCCGGGTCTGGTTAATCCCCCCCTGATAATCTGCCTCACTAAAGTGCCGGGTCTGATTAATTCCCCTCCTGATAATCTGCCTTCACCTAGAACTTCCTGAACACCAGCTGCCACAGTGACAGCAGCTTCTGTTTAAGTATTTAAACCACAAGATGGAAATCCCTTTGGGGGTCGTGCTCTGTAATGAGCATGGGTCACTGGGGAGTATCTTCAGATTTTGGAACTGGTATGTCCTTTCCCAGGTCGGGGTAGAGAGCAGTCCTCAGCCCAATGGTATTTATAAAAGCACTCTGAGAATGGGAAAGAGCTGTGTCAGAGTTAGTTGTGTAAGGCAACCATGTAAAAAAGAGTAAAAGTGTGTCTTCTCTCTCTTCCCCATCCTGCCCACTTTTAATTTTAATTTCAGGGTAGAGAACCAATAGGCATTTGTATCGAGGCTGAAGGTATCCAAGGAGAAGCCTATAAGATTGAAAACAGACTCAGTGTTGAGTGTGCTCAAGGGAAATACGTGTCTAGGCGGGAACCTCTTGGCAGACAGACGACAGTTAAGCCTGCAGCCCAGAGGAGGAGATGGCCTGGGACAAGTGGGTACCACAGGAGTGGCTGGGTTCTCAGGAAGGAGCTAAGGTTCTGAGTCTGGATTATTTGTCTTTGTAGGCTTCCAGTTACATGCATTTTCTGAATATGTCATAATTTAATTTTTCCTTATGGCATGTATATCTTTTTTGATTTTTGTTTTTTGAGATAGGGTCTGTAGCCCAGGCTGGCCACAGATTTGCTATGTAGCCAAAGATGATCTTAAATTTCTTGTTTTCCTGCCTCTGCCTCCTGAGTGGCCAGCTTATGGGGCTGTACCACCACACCTCAGACACAGCAGTGGCGGTGGAACCCCAGAGCAAGCACCTTATCACCTGAGCTACATTCCCCAGCTCGGGGCTGAGAGTCTCAGCCTTGGCTTACGTTAGAATTAACTGCGGAGCCCTACAGAAAGGAAAAGTGTCCATGATATCCTGAGTCGGAGTCTAAGGGACAGAGTCCTAACAGGTCCAATCTGGATCACAGGAAATGAACAGGAACCAGAAAAAGAAGCCACTAGGAGCTCACTGGTAGTCAAAGTGGGGCACCTTTCTGCAGTAACTGAGACACAGATGAGCCCCTGCTGCCCCCGCCGCCTCCGCCGCCCTTTGGGTTTGTCCTGTCTGTGTCCTGAATTTGCTCAGCCTCACCATCACCTCTGTCCTTATGGTCTGGTTCTGTAAGCTCAGTGGTTTGACCAGGCACCCCTTCTGTCTTTGCTTGCAGATCAAGTGTTCCCTCCCACGTGCACCATCGGGAAGAATTTTCTCTCCCTCAATTACCTTGCTGAGTACCTTCAACCCAAGCCTGCTGAAGGCTGTGTCCTGTCCAGTCAGCCCCAGGAGAAGGAAGTGCACATCATTGAATTAATCGCTCCCAACTCAAACATACACAGGTGAGCCTGTATGCACATGTGACCTCATGTGTGTGTGGTGTGTGCGTGTGTGTGTGGTGTAGTGTGTGTGTGGTGTGTGTGTGGTATGTGCATTGCGGTGTGGTATGTGCATGTATGTGATGTGTGTATGTGTGTGTGTGGTGTGGTATGTGTGTGTGCGTGTGTATGTGTGGCGTGTGTGAACGTGTGGCGCGTGTGAACGTGTGGCGTGTGTGTATGTGTGGTGTGTGTGTGTGCGTATGTATGGTGTGTGTGTGTGGTGTGGTGTGTGTGTGTGCGTATGTATGGTGTGGTGTGTGTGTGTGTGCGTGTGTGGTGTGGCGTGTGTGTGTGTTGGTGGAGTGGATCTTCATGGTACATACGAAGGACGGCACAATCTGCCACTTATGCTCTTATTCTGCCTCTCAACTTCCTATGCTGGCCTGGAAGTTTGATTCTTCCTATTGAAAATAATTTGTTTTTTAAGTCAAAAAAAATTATTATTTTCCATGCTGATCTGTATTTCATATGGACCAGTGACTCAAAGTTTACACTTGTATTGTAGAGATACTTTTGAAATGATGTGTATAATAGAGTTTCATCTCAGTATTGAATAGACTACAAATTGGTTTGGGTAGGATTCTGTTCAGTCCCACGTACAGAACTCTGGAAAATTCAAAGGGACTGGGAGAGACCTGGAACATGTGTGCAGACCTTTGAAGTCAGGGCACCCTGGCTATCATGCTTCACAAGTGAAGCCAAGACAGACTTCCCTCAAATTCAGGACAAAGGGTGTGATCATTCAGTAAATAAAAATTGTAAATAAAAATCATTCTCTTTAATGCTGAATTCTCTGACCCATAATTTTCTTTAATAATTGTATATCCATAAGTTTGGGAAAGTAAATGCAGCTATGATTATTTAACCACCATTGATGCCTCAGTCAACTCTTGCATAAGCCAAGGGGCCTTTTGCTTCTTATTTTATTATGAAGTTTCCGAGTGTCTTCCACCTCCCAGCCGTCAGCCACTCTTGTCAGGATTTCAAGGGTTTCTGCATATGGGGTCTTAGAAGTTACAGGCTAATGAAGGGCGGGTCGCGGGAGCTTGAAAACAAACAATTCTGCTTCAAAATGAAGCTCGCTTGGTGTGTTCAAGATCCTTCAGATGGTGCTGCACTGAGTAACTGCCTTTCTCTCTGGCCTCTCTAGAAGGAAGAACTTGTGTGGTTAATTAGTATCAGGCCTGTGCTCCTATTGTTGTGTAAACCCACTTTGTTGTGTGTGCAACAGCAATGTGTTCTGCACATGTCATCTGCCTGGGACCCACGCCAGGATTTTAATCAACTGGCCAGACACTGGGAACACGAGGCTTGGAAGCAGTGGCAGAGCTCCTGGCATTTGGGTCTTGACTTTGCCTTTGTTTTCCACACACAGCCCCCTCCAGGTGGACATTGTCATCGACATACAACCTGCTCGAGAGGGCCCCGAGGTGGTCAAAGACCTCATCCTGATCCTGAAGTGCAAGAAGGATGTCAACTGGGTGATCAAATCTTTTGACGTCAGGGGAAGCCTGAAAGTTATTGTAAGTTGGCTGCGCATTTCTTGGTCTTGTTAAACAGCAATGATTTAAACTGTGGTTGTGTGTGTATTATTTTTGCAAGAATTCTGCCTCTTTGAACTTTCTAGATCTCTTAGCTTCTACTTTGCAAACTTTGCTTGGTTTCGCCTGATAGGACAGTCAGAGTGGTGGCTAAAACATGGCCCTCGGGAGTATAATAGATGTGGGTTTGAGTCTTGGTTCTTCTACTTAAAAATTACAGCCTTGGACAAGTCCTTGAAGCTTTCTGAATTTCAGTTACCTCATTAGGAAAGTTCTGAAATGAATCAGTGTGTTTTCTAGTCATAGTAAATATGAAGCAATGAACAAAAGTACATTTTTCATGTCTGAGTATTCTTTAGAGACTCAATATCATGGACCTGAATTTAGCTTTTACTCTGGAGTTAGGTGCTTAGGGAGGAAGGAAAATCCATCTGATCCCAGCTGTGGCATAGGCTTTCCTGTTGAGATAAATACGTATTCCCAGTGCTGGTGTGCGGGAGGCAGACTCAGAAGAACCCTCTGAGCTCATTGGCCATCTGTACGGTCTAGCTGAATGGTGAGCTCCTGGTTCAGTAGGAGACACAGTCTCAGAAACAGAGGCAGGCACAGCGTGAAGAAAACACCTGATGTTGACCTCTGGTCTCCATTCACACATTTGCATACCACACACACACACACACACACACACACACACACTTGTACATGTGTCACACGTGATTTTTTTTTTCAAAAGTAACCACAGGTGTGCTCCAATTTATCTCTGAAACACTGTTAACATGGTAAGGTGATAGCCAGGTAGCTAAAAGTTTGATGGAATAAAACTCATCTCAGGGGAAAACTATTGGACTGAATATTGGAGCAAATTATATGTATGTAATGGGTATGGTGTGTGCATGTATATGAATTTATATATGCATGTATGTATCACACCCCTTGGCATTTTTTTGTCGAGTAAAATTTTAAGGTATTTTTAATTGACCGGCATCTTTTTCAGTGCCTGTTTCGAAACAGCTGGAGTCGATTTTAGATTTTTGATTTTTAAAAAGAGATTGCCTGCGGTTGTTTTGGTTCTGTGTTCATTCGCACACAGCACCTTCCATGGGATCCAGCAGTTGGCAAAGTCAATGGTTCTCTACAAATCCAGCCACATAGGTGAACTCACGAGAGGGGCAGACAAAGCCAGTAGCACACACGTCTCAATTTTAAAGTAATTCTTCTTTGTTCCTAGGGGTTTTTTTAAATTTATTTTTCTTAGACTTTGAAACAGTCCAAATGCCCATCAAGTGTAATGTGACAGATGAAGCTGGTGTCGAGAGCAAACCCTAGCGTGATTTTCCAAGGTCGTGGGTATTTTGATTGCATTCCCCTGGCATGGCATGAGGGGGGGTGGAGGCGACCTGGAGTGTCTGCTGCTTTTGCTGCCTGGCACATCAACCGAATGTTTTTAGCTTCAGAATAACAAAAACAGGAAAGAGAATCAAGCTTTGAAAGGCAAAAAAACATACGGCATGTTTCAGTTCCCTGCCGGAGGGCTCACGCACGCTCTCAGCCCTGACCTGTGGCTCCTGCTGTCCCTGAACACATGTGCCTGGACAACCCCAGGCCTGGGCTTTGCTTTGAAGGTCCCTGTCTCTCAGAGGAATCAGAAAGACTAGAAATGAGATCGGCCATCATCCCAAGGAAGATCTGTTTCTATTCCTCTCTTTGGCTGGACTCCTGTTCCAGGCCAATTTTGGATAATACATGACAACATTGCTAAACAATTAGGTAATGTTTCATCATGTTCTTTTTCTTCTCCAATTCTCCACTCAGTTTCAAGCTATTTGACTTCTAACTCCCTGTCCCAGATGTGAATTTGAACTGTGCCGTGAGGGATGGGTGCATGCGAAGACAGAGGTTTAACTTGCTGCTTAGAAAAGGAGACATAGTTTGTGGGGAACTTAATCCTTGTCTTCCCTGTACTAACAAGGTTGCTAAGTGAAAAAAAAAAAATAAAGGATCCTGACTGGACCAGGCAAGGCCAGCTTCAAGGTTCATCTTCCCGGTTCATGGTGGAGAGTCTGACCAGCAAGGGGTCTGTTTATGTAACTGTGAAATGGATACAAGGTGACAGCAGTCGCCTGAAAGCTATTGTGTGGTTTAGGTGACTTTAATGATCCCTTCAGTGTTTGTTTAGGGCATATAGGGTCTCTCTCTCCCTTAAAACACACAGGTAGGTGGAAAGTTCTCAGCTATGTGTGTTACTCAGTTGCAAGTCTCAGATTCTCTTTCACTGGCAGAAGAATGGCAGAACCTCGCTCCTTGTATTAAAGGAAGATTATTACCATATATTACCTAAGAAAATATATGTAAATTTTAGCACGGACCCATTGTAAAAAGAACTCATCCTCTTTCCATAAGTGCTTGCTGGAAGAGTTTGTCCACAGGAAGTGAAGTGCTTCGTGAACCAAGGTGGAAACAGGAACCACAGTTCGCAGGGAGGTGAAAGAATGACCCCGTGGCACGTGCGTGGCTGTGCCGAGTGGCACGTGCGTGGCTGTGCCGAGCTTATCAGAGCTACAGCAAGGGCAGCGTGCAGCCTGTGTAAGGGACAGTGGTCAAAGAGATAGGCAGAACGATGCAGAAAGCACAGCACTAAAATGTGGCTCTGTCTTGTTCCCTGGGTGCCCTGTCTGGGTGCCCTGTAGACGGGGTGCTGTGACTTCCACAGCAGGGAGAGCTCCAGAACAGGAAAGATGAGGGGGGCTTCATAGCCGTTCCCTCTCGTGGGTCAGAGAGATGGGTAAAGACTCCTATGCCAGAGTTCTGTCCCTGGGCCCGCATGGTGGAAGGAGAGGACCGGCTCCTACAGGTAGGCCTCCAAGCTCCACCTCTCTCTCTCTCTCTCTCTCTCTCTCTCTCTCTCTCTCTCTCACACACACACACACACACACGATAAAATTATAGTAAATTTAAAAGCTGAAAGCTGTTTCCTCTTGTGCCCTTTGATGCAGCGTCACAAATATGACTTCTTCTTAGAAAACACATTGCTAGTTTAAAACCTCAGTGCATATGTACTTGGTATTCTCTACCCATTGCTCCCCTAAAAGCCCTTCTCCCTACGCCATCATTTCTAGGGCATGGGGCACAGCCACTTAGGCTCCACTTCATTAATTATTCACAAAATAGAGCTGAGGAGTATGGTGATGGTGTTTGAGGAGACTCCCCTAAGTCCCCACTTGACTGTATTACGGTTGGGAAAGCCTGGAGAGTCCAGGAATACAAAGGTGAGGAATTTACTCAATGCTGAGAACCAATTTGCCTCCCATTATCCTGTGTCTTGCTGCTTTACTAGCGTGTAGAGTGACGTCTAATCTTTTAAGTTCCAAACCATAATTAATATGAATTACCCTGACAGCATCTAGATTTATGTGGAAAGGCATGAACAGATCACTCTGTCCTGGTACAGCAGGACAGGTGGCCGTCGAGATGATGGGATTCTGGAAAGAGAGTATTTTCTCAGCTGTCTGACAGCGTGAACGTCTAGGGCAGATGAGGCCAGGCAGTATTGTGTAGGCCAAAGTTGCGGTTCCAGCCAGTCAAAACACATGTTGCTTTGAAAGACTGGAAGAAGCTGTCTCTCAGAAACTCCTGTTGACCGAATAGCAAGCTCTGAGAGCTGCCTGGGTCGTTCTTGATTTCTGTCCCATTTCTGTCTTTCATCTCTTTTTCGTTACCACTTCCTCTTCTCATCCACCCTCCCCCTTCCCTCTCTCCCTCCCTTCCCTTTCTCTCTTCTCATTCTTCCCCTAGGATTTTCCTCTGAGTTTGAGTAAGAACTAAACTAATCTCAGTCTATAACAACCGAGCTTACAAACAGTAGCAGGATTCCGTTCCTCTCCGTCTGATTTCTTGCGTGCACACATGGAGTCGTGAGCGGCCAGCCTGGCAGGTTTCCGCTAGATAAGCTCTTTGGGTAACAGGAGACGATCTTGGGTGTCAGCTCTGGAGTATATGTGGCCTCAGACAGTCTCCACAACTGAGGAGGCCCAGAGAATGAGCGCCTGTGCATCTTTTATGACTTTACAGTGGGAAAGAATTAATATTTAGTCATGTTTGGGGCAAATAGAATGGGAAACAAATGAGGCATTTAGAAAAAATGCTGCAGATATGCAGGAGAAAATCACTGGGCATGGAAATTAAAGGGATTTTGATGCAGTGTGACAATGGCATAATCTATACTCTGGAAGCTTCTCTGGTCCACCAGAGCAGTTGTGCAAACTGGGCCTTGCCCTTGGGTCCCTCTGCAGTGGTCAGGTCCCTCACCCACTGACCAGATCCCTGTCACAGGCGTCAGTAGGGCACATAGACATTGCCACGCCCTGGCTACCCCGAGGTTATCCATGTCCTTCCTTGAAGGAATACTAGCATTTTAGCATTGTAGCTGATTATTTTATGAAAGCTAACCTTTCAATGTGGCTTCTTGAATTTTCATATTGTCTTTATATAGGGGCCATATCAATTTTGATGTCCTTTAAGTTTCAATAGATGTGTTGCCTATGTAAGAATATATAGTTTGTGGATTCCTCCGTTATTACTAAATAAAATACTAATACTTAAGCAGTTTCTTAATTAATACTCCAGATCATAAAGTATAGTATATTAACAGAATTGGCAAGTGAATACAACTTCAGGACAGCTAAACCAATCATAAATTATAGATAAAATGTAAAGACTTGAGTTTTACCATGTGGAAGTCAATAGCTTAAATAGCATTGGGAGAGTCACGATATCCTACTGTCTTTCCTTTAGGTCGAGGCTACAAGAGGCAGAACCATAGGAGTGTTTATAACACGGTGTGCACACTTGGGTACTTTATACACAATTTTGAATAAAAATAGGAAGGGAACATTTGAAATGTGTACTTAGCACAGGCAGCCAAAATAAAGTGAGAAGGCAGCATGGGTGGTTGTCACTTTGTGTGTGTTAATTTGTATCTCAGTGTCTTATCCAAGGAAGACAAGAGTTGCAGGGTAGGTCCTCATTATACTATCTAGAATCTGCTGATTTCAGGTAACTCCTTATTCGAAGTATCCTTTTAGAATATCTCTTATTCTTTGACAACTTTATACATGATACAATGTATCTTGACCATGCCTGCCCCCAGCTCCCACCTTGATCCCCCATGGACACCCCATAAAATATTCCCTTCTCACCTACCTGTCTTCCCCATCTTTCATTTTTGTGAGTCATGGAGCCTGGTCAGTGCTGCCTGTTGGAATGCTGACCGACCCATCTTGACCTTACGCGGGTCCTGAAAAGCCCTTTCGGTTTTATACTCACAAGTGAAATTTTGGTATTTCCTTTAGGCTACCAATAGCGTTGGCTTTGGAAAAGACAGTGAAAGATCCATGACAGTGACCAAGTCGGTAAAAAACGACACCCTTTCCACCCAAGAGAATCTGGTGCAGTGGGCATTGGACAATGGCTACAGCCCCGTGACGTCATACACCATGGTGCCTGTGGCGAATAGATTTCATCTTCGGCTCGAGAACAATAATGGTACGTGTGGTGTTCTGTCTCTCGGACGAAGTGTGTCTGTGAAAGACACTCATGTCCACGTGATGGTCACTGGTTTTCTGTCGTGCAGCTTGATAGTTCGTCTGACAGCGTGAAGCTTAAGCTCACGTAGTAATGGAGGTGGCCGTAGCACATATGTTCCGTGATGGGTTACATGTCAGGCATGTTTTGTTCACCAAGTCCTCTGTGATTACAGTAGAATGATTAGTGACCAATCACAACTGAGAAGACCAAGGGGGCAGGACCACTGGGGAACATGGCTGAAGTTTACGGGAGAATAGTCATGCGGACTCAGACAGGGGAGCTTTTCTTCAGGGTGTGGAGGCAGAATTGCCACTCCAGTTTGGCTAGCAGAAGCAGAGTCTGCAAGCCCTTGGGAGCTTCTGGAGTTTTAAGTAGGTGTGACTTGAACCCCCTAATTCTCTGATCTCTGGACCTGTTCCTCACCCAGTGGTACCCAGTGGTAATGCTAGGTTCCCACCCAGCATTAGTGTTTCTTTACTATTAGGGGAGGTGTTACTTAATCTCCAAACCTGAGCCTCAGATTCCTCATCAACAATCAAAATAACAAGAAAAATAACATCTACCCTACTGGGTTGCCAAAATGTTTTGTTGTTGTTTTTCGCGTGGGATGGTAGTGTTTTTGTTTGGTTGGTTTTTATCAATGTGCGAATTGAAAGCACTCCAAAGCTATGACTTCCTTTGGTGCTTTGTCTATAACATCCTTTTCAGAAGGATCATGTGGAAAGAGGGGTCACGTCTCCTACCATTTCGGCTATCTTACCCTGAGGCAGGTGTGGCCTTAAGCATCCATCAGCTGGGCTCAGATAACCATGGATGCAGAGAATCCTGAGGAAACATGAGTTTTTCTCGCAATCATTGGAAACATGGCGATGCTGCACATTGCCTTTATGGAATTCTATCTTCCTTGCAAGGAATAAGTGTGCCTAAGCGCCCCCCCCTCTCCCAGAGATGAGGCTCAAAAAGACCAGGGTACCTGGATATCACCTAGATTTTTATCAGTCAAAAAGAAAGCAGCAAAATAATTCTAAAAGAGCAGTGTCCAAGTGGCAGAGGACTCACCCACTGTGGTAAAGAACCTGGACTCGATCCTTGGTGCTGCAAAATATAAAATAAAAATGCCAATGTTGTTTCAAGAGATATTTTGAGAAATGATTTTAGGACCCCTAGATTAAAAGAAAGTATTTTAAGGGCCTTTGCATAGCATGTTATGGCCCCAATTGGCACAGGTATATCGTTGGTAGGAACTTAGAAATTGCCGAGCAGAATGCCTCTCAGTCGTGGTCGAGCGTTGCCGTCGCACTAGAAGCTTCAAAAATTCACTGGAGCTGCTTTTTCCAAAGCCCCTAAGTGATTTCAACGTGAAGCCCAAGTTGAGGATCACGGTTACAATCCAAACTTTTAAAGTTTAAAACTTGGAAAACTGAGTCACAGAGAAATAAGTCACATGTCCGAAGCCACTCAGCTAGTTAGAACCCCCGGATCAGAATTCAGGTTTCCACACTGCTTAGTCAGTTCTATGCCCTGCACGTTGACTCCAGATTTGCTACTGGTGACCCCGTCTCTGATGATGACGTGGCCTGACATCAGCCACTCACGATGTTTCTTCACCTTTTGTTTCCACAGAGGAGATGAGAGACGAGGAAGTCCACACCACTCCTCCAGAGCTTTGGATCCTGCTGGGCCGTGACCACAGGCCTACCCTGGATAACCCACCCTTCCTGGGAGGGAAAAGCAAAGATGAAGGTCTCCCCTTCTCTTTCCAGAATATCCCCAAGAAAGGCTGGAAGGAGGGAGAAGATAGGATTCTCCATCCAAAGAATCCTGCCATGCCCAGCCTCCCACTGTTTCGGGACCACAGAGAGCCGGAAGAAGTGCAGGGGGGTGTGGCCAACGCCTTGTCAGTCAAGTGTGACAGTGAAAAGTTGACTGTAACTGTGAGCAGAGACTCTCTCAGAGACTCTCTCAAGGTCAGTGGCTCAGTGTGGTCCTCTAAAGAACGTTCCCCCAGCCAGCTGCAATCCGCGTCTGCTATTTCCCTGTAGCTATTTCACTTGGTAGCTTTTTCCCCTAGTTGGATCAGCCACTTCTCCTGGGCTACAACCCTCATCCAACTTCCTGTTGTTCTCAAAAGAGGAGAGGAGTTCAGATCCTCCTGTGTCAATATTTTGCTACTGAGTTTTCAGTGCCAACAAACACAATCTGAGGGCTGTTGACAGGTGGCGGATGGGGAGAAGGCAGGAGGGGGAGGGGTACGACGCAGGGATGCAGGCCGCTGGCTTCTGCCTTGGGAGGTGGGCTGAGGTAGGCACTGCTCCTTCCTGGGTACGTTGAGCTGCTGTGAAGCCCTCCACTCTGCCTTTGGTGTTGTCCATTTCAGACCAGTAACTACTCAGAGGTGGAGCTCACCCTGTCAAATCATTCATGCAAAGCCAAGATGAACGGCACCCACTTTGTTTTGGAGTCCCCCCTGAATGGCTGTGGCACTGGCCACTGGCGGTCAGCCCCTGACGGTGTGGTCTACTATAACTCGGTGAGTATCGGTGGCGTGGCTGAATATCACTCAGTGTTAGTCTCCCCTTGTCTCCGAAGATGACAGGGATGGAGATAAAGCGAGATGTCAGATCTCAGCAAAATGGGATGGACTTTGGCCCCGAACTCTTGTTTTGGTTTACCAGTGAGTCTGTGGGATTTGAAGGTTCTGTTTTCTCAGCTGGAGCTGTGGTAATTTCACACACTTCCTCCTTCCATCTAATGATGGTCCACCAGGAAGGTGATTGTGCCTGTACCATCCTGCTCTGGTCACACTGGAGGGTCAAATCGGTTGGTCTTTATGGGACTAAAATCCCAAAGCCCTAGGTTATATGTGCATCTCCGAATGGATGCACAGTATTTTGCTTGTTCAAAAATAAGAGGAGACTCCTTCCCTCATGAGTTTGAAATCAGAAAAGAATCTTGGTGAAATTATCAAGTCTCTGTACCTCTAAGAAAGACCCTAAGTTTAAGAAATTTTATTTTTGAAGTTAACTAAGAAAAGGCTGCACCAGCGCCCCCGGCCCCTCAAAAAAGGTGACCCTCTGCGGTCCGTATAATAGTAAGGTCACCCGCTGCGGTCCGTATAATAGTAAGGTAACCCTCTGCAGTCCGTATAATAGTAAG